CTTTTCAGGCTATTCAAGCCGCCGTCAAAACCACATGTCAGGCATAACAATTCCAGTGTTGCCAACCGTTCAGCTAACCTCGAGCTCTGTGAAATAATTATTGAAAGTTTTCGACCTTTAGATTTGAAAGCTGTTTGTACTTAGGACTTAGTTTGTGTATATAATGTAGCTTTCTCCCTCAGTTTTCAGTCAGATACAAAGAATATTTCTAAACATTTTTGAAAAATATTTAGGAATATTTCTCAAACGAAACTTTACGATTTTAACCTTTCATGTTATTATATAATAAATTGGACATATGTGTTTTATAAATTATATATACCTTTGTTTTTACAGCTATCTTTCTAGTCGGAGATAATCTTTCTCATGAAAATTTAATTTTCTATTAATTTTATGAGCATTTTAGTTTTTTATTTTTTATTTAATAATCAACCAGGCGCGATATTGAAACATTTGAGCCTAATACAGAGGAAACAAAACAGCAAACAAATTAGAACTTAGATTTAAAAAATCACAAATTTACATATATTATTCTACAAAGTTCATAAAATTTATATAGACAAAGTGGATGAGAGATGAAAGTTTTAGATTTTTAAATAAACTTTTAAAAAAATATTAGTTTACGGGTTCCAAAATAACTTTACTAGGTGCCACTCAAACAGAGCAACTTATGATATTTACAACAATTAATAATATATGTGAAGGTTATTCACATATTAAAACAAAGTGTCCAACGCAAGATTCGATCCCGGTTCATGGCTGTCGGGAATCCAGAGTTTTACCCACTCGTCCACCGACTACATGTTTACTCTCAAAAGAAGAACTCTTAAAATATCTAATAATAATAATGTTATTTAATGGAATTATAGCAAAGCGGACATGTATAATATTTACCTAAAACTATTTTAAAAATGTGTTTAGAGTTAAAAACAATCCTTTAAACTATTTATTTCTCTGATGCGGCCTAATCGCCAAGTTTCATGACCAGAAACAATTTAAAAGCCAGACTGTTGGCCCTCACTCAGTACCTTTTTTAATGCCACACACTACAACAATTATTCAGAAAATATCTTTCATCTTATCATATTTCCGTTTATTATACCTTATACGTTCTATATATATCACAGTTTATTGTAGGGTTTATGGATTTCACTATTTAGTAAAGATTTTGGTGTTGAAATCATATAAACCATCGATTTTTCAACAACGATGATCCGGGATCGAAACTGACGTTGGGCACTTTTTCTTATCTAAAAATTGCTTTAAAAGTACGAACGCAACAGTAAACGAAAATAGCCAAACGGCAGAAATAGCACACTTGTAAGTGCAAAATGCAAACTGCGCTTTTAACATTTGTAGAAATGCGTTGCACTTCGGTAAAATCATTCGCTAACTACCCATCATGATTATCAGTGAGTACTTGAGATATATACCACCACTACCCTTTCGAACCATTTCTCATTAGCGACTCTTTTGATGAGAGATCATCTCCATTAGCGATAACCTCTGTAAAATCGAGAAATACTACTAATGAGCGACCACCTCCATTAGCGATAATCTCTGTAAAATAAAAATATACGTCACACCCAACATAATCCCATGAATGTCCATATATTCTAGAAATACTTGTAGTAGATATTTTAGGCAATTTTTATCTTATGCTTCACTGTGTGTACTATATAAGACTTTTTCTCTCTCAACCTTTACTTATATATAGATTATACATTGAAATATTGTGTTTAAATCATATTTACAAAATGTGAATTAAAATTATAATTGAAATACTCTCGTCTTCTCTAAGGGAAAGTTTCTTGTCATTCTATTGAAGTGAAATGCCCTATTTTTAAGTATATCATTTCAGTGGTCTGTATGTAGGATTAGAAAATACAATGGTGTCCAAAAAATAAGAAACTTAACCAATATTGAAATTTCTCAAAAGCTAATTTATTAACAAATATAAAATTTAGTATACAAATAGTTTAAACTATGGAGAATTTGACTAGCTATATGAAAATAAAAAGAATATTTGAAATTATGAAATATGCAAATTATTACCAACATACCCAAAGCTAAGGTTCCAGATCTTAAAGAAATAAGATATCAATAGGGAGTATGATCACCTCTAACAGCTATCAAGGTCTCACAGCGAGCCCTCATACTGTTTACCAGGCTTTGGAGGAGGTCCATGGGTAGTAAACCCCACTCCTCCAATAGAGCAGTTCTTAGATCAACGAGGGTTCTGGGAAGAGGTGACGAGCTCCAATACGCCTCCCTAGAGCATCCCACACATGCTCTATTGGATTCAGGTCCGGAGATCTGGCTGGCCAATCCATCCTTCGAATATTCTCACTCTGGAGATATTCATTGACTAGCCTAGCCCTATGCGGACGAGCATTATCGTCCATAAAAATCAAATTGTGACCAATTTGATCTCTATAAGGTCTTAGATAGGGCTCAGGGACGAGAAACTTTCCCTTAGAGAAGACGAGAGTATTTCAATTATAATTTTAATTCACATTTTGTAAATATGATTTAAACACAATATTTCAATGTATAATCTATATATAAGTAAAGGTTGAGAGAGAAAAAGTCTTATATAGTACCTTTGGGTAGTTAAAGTGCCCCCAGAAAAAATGTGGAGGGGTGTGCGTCTGCTAGAACTGATGCCAGCCCAGACTAAGAGACTTTCCCCTCTAAAACTGTCTATTTCCCTGATGTTACTGGGATGATAGCGGGTTCCAGGCTCCCTCCAGATGAAAACTCGTCGAGAATCTGTGTTTAAACTAAATCTTGACTCGTCACTGAAGAGAACATTGGCCCACTGATCATGAGTCCAGGCGTGATGTTGCAAGCACAAATTCAAGCGGGCTCTCCTGTGAGCAGAGATTAAAGGGATACAGACCATTGGTCGTCTTGCATAAAGAGCACCTTCGTGAAGCCTTCGGTAAACAGTTTGTCTTGAAATTCTCGTTCCAGTAGCACTTGAGAGTTCATTAGAGAGTTGAATAGCTGTCATCTCCCTATGGCGCTTGGCAGTTACGACCAGATAACGGTCTTCAGAGGTAGCTGTTTTTCTTTTTCTACCAGAACCTTCTTTTCCTTTGATGGTTCTTGCCTCAATGAACTGTTTCCATATTTTGCTGACCACAGATTTATTCACATTTAGCCATTTTGCTACTTCAACTTGTGATTGCCCTGCCTCCATTCTTCCAACAGCTCTCCATTTTAAATAATCTACTAAAATTTTCGTAAACTCATAATTAACTAAGGATTAAATAAAATTATAATTGGACAATTCTTAGATGGGGTAAACGACACGCCAAATAGCACACTTATAAAGACAAGCAAAAATTTGCATATTTTCAATTTTACCGAATCGACTGGTTGCGATAAATAAATTCTACGACTTAAAATACCTAATTAAATTACTTTTTAGCTTTTAGCGTTGTATATTTTAAAACATATCATTAAAAAACAAAGGTTTCTTATTTTTTGACACCAGTGTATATTTATTCTCTTCATTTACATGTTCAAAGTTTTACTTGGCTGAAGAAGGGCTTGCCCGAAAGCTTCCTTTAATAAAGTAGATAAAAGAGAGTTGCGAGGCGTCTTTGAGAATTTTTGTTATTATTATATAAAAATCATTTTTTTCTAGAATTTCTCAGCTAGTTGATCAGGAATTTGTCTAATAGTTTCAGGTGCGTTTCAATAGAGTTATATTAAACACATTGAGAAACACGTTGGGGGTCGGTGGAAGGATGGTCCAAACCGTTGGTTTTTGACCGCTACGACCCGGGTTCGATTCCCGCTTTGGGCACTTTTTTCAGATTTAAACTAAAATGCTCCAATGGCCCCGATTCTTGCAAAAGTCCAACCCCACCAGCGAGTACAAATAACCTAAACAGGGCTCTGGTACATTTGTAAGTGCAAAGTCGAACTGCTTTTCACATGTGTAGACATGTTGTGCACTTACAGTAAAAGCAGTCGTCTACTTCTACCCACCATGATTATAATGGCCTGTACCACGTGTACTAGGGATGAGAAAAAAAGAACAACGTTATTTGAGGCTAATAAAGGAGATTAAGATACTACGAGTATTCACTTATAATTTGGAATTCAATAAAAATTTTATATAACGTTAGTGTGATATATATAATAAAAATTCATATAATTCTATAAAAAGGTAAAAAAAGATATCTTTGTGGAAATCTGTTTAATTATAGAACATATACATTTTCTCCACTAGATCCCTTCTGTTTTTCTTGTTTCTTTCTATTTCATCTTGTCAAATAGGATTTTTTATTCCATTGGGATATCTGCTTTCAGAAGAATTCCAATTCTTTCTGACTCCCAGCCCCCCTCCCAGAAAACAAATTAAAGTCAAGCGATATATTGAAACATACTGAAAATCAAATTTTTATGAAAGATAATCTTTTAAGCGTTCTATAAACAGTTATTCTGTATAAGGAATTTAAGGCATGTAAGTTAGAGTCCTATAATATACTTTAGAATGATTCATTCTAGGAAGAATGATGTTATCACCATAATCTTATACAAGGGATAAATTTATTGGATTAAGAAACTATTAGTTCAAAATATTGATTTATCAAGTAACTTCAATAACAATCTAATTACCTTGTTTGTGAGTATTAATGTACAGCATTCAATACGCTGACGAGATTCATCAACTCGATGCGTAGACGTCGTTGGGTTTTCTTGAACTTTTTGTATACAGTAGGACCTCCCTTTAGTGGACAACCTGCTAGCGGACACCTCTCTATAAAGGACAGTTTCCATTTGTAAAATTACCATTTTTACAATTAAGCAACTCTCCGGTAAGAGGACTCCTCTCCCTAAAGGAAAGTTACAGGGAGGTTCTACTGTATATGTTATAATAAATATTTCCGAGATAGAGGTTTATTAGTTTGTTATCAGGATGAAAAAGTATTTTTGCCAATGGTATGCAGTCGTGTCACACACATATTGAAAAATATACTGACAAAAATATACCACATTGAAAACGCCGGTTTTCGTCCGATCACCGAAGTTAAGCAACGTCGGGCCCGGTCAGTACTTGGGAGGGTGACCAAATATTTACAAAAAGTTCCGGTAAAAGAAAAACAACAAAAAAATTATATAGTTTAAAGTTGCGCTATCTGGCGGTTAACTTCACATAGGTTTGTTATAGAAATTATAATTTCAATTAAAATAATTATTATATAATATAAACCTATACAGGAATAAAATGAACGTAAATATAGAGGCTGCCTGGCCGGCATTCATAGTTCTTCAAATTAAAGATACTTCCTCCAGTGAATATTTTTTATTATTTCGACCTTTCGACAAAAATCTTTCGTCCTCGTCAAGAGCGAACAAAAATTAAAACATTTTGCAAACCGTTAAAAATTATTCTAAGGCTGCAAGGGATGTACAAAATTTGAAATACCGCGTGAGAACGCCCTTGCAGTCTCAGAATAAATTTTAACGCTTTGCAAAATGTTTTAATTTTTGTTCGCTCCTGACGAGAACAAAAGTTTTTTGCGAAACGTGAGACAATAAAAAAGATTAACTGGCCGAAGTGGCTTTAATATGAAGAGGAATAAAATTAATCATGTTTAGTTTATATAAAGGTGTTACGTTTTCCTGGAGAATATTTATCTCTATGAAAGCAAAAGTCGCCTCTCCCATCAAAATAGATACCAAATTTAGGCGCCATCTTTTTTTTCTCCCTCTGCGACATTTATTATGACGGAAAGCGATTTTTTTGTTCATATTTTTTAGTTCAAAGTTATTCCGGACGATGAGGAGCAAGTCATTAACAACTTTGTACAATGATAAAATATGATTTTATATTTTACCAAGCTGATTTGTTATACTAACAGCTATATAACATACAAACATTCAACTAGTACATGTCTATATATATAGGTACAATATTTTCTCACAAATAATGGAGAACAGCACAGTCAATAGACGTAACACAGATAATGGATCCAACTTGATGAAAGGTCGATGTTACTCTCCACTACTGTAGATAACTGCTATGTTTACTTCTGTATCTGGAAGAATCCTGTATGGGACAAGTGTCCTTTATAAAGACTTTTGTTGTTGTATAGTTGAACTTTTACAATAATCTTTCGGCTAAATTAAGATTTGGGGGAGGGGAGAACTCTTCAAATCGGCACAAAGATACAAAAATTTAGTATATCTCCTATAAACTATATCTTAAACTATATATTAGAACAAATATTTTTCCCTTCTTTTTTAATGATTCCATACAGCATGTTTCAGCTAACAATAATCATTTGAAACATCGTACAAACTGAAAAAGAGTGAATAGAAAGGTTTCGCTTAATATATTTCCTAATGAAAATATATATGCAATTTTTTAATTTGATATTTATTTTCCAGACAGCAGATTTCGGCTAAAAATAATCAATATGAAACATCGCAAACGGAAGAAAAAGTATATATAGACATGTCGTATCCGTCGTGGTGGAATGGAAGGGCGCGACCGTTATGTATGTAAGCGTCAAAAAAGAACATGTTCGACACTCGTGAGCACGCGCGCACGCGGCGGTGGCGTGGCCTTCGCCCGCGCGCGCTGGCTCCCACGTTTATTTTGTACATATTCATAGATAAGTGAATTTGTATTTACATTTTAACATATTAATTATGGCGAAAATAAATTATATCTCTTGGGTATTAATTATACAAATTTTATGACATATATATATATACTAGCGGGTGTACCCGGCTCCGCCCGGGTTTTACTCGAGGGAAGTTGTTTTCTTGGCCGACTGTTTTACATATGGTGTTATCTTAAAATTGCTTGTTTTGAATATTTTTTTTAGATTGAGATTATTAGCAGGTATGTAAAAAAAATTAACTCTGTTGAAATTTAATTTTGTATTTTATATAAATAAAATTAACTCTGTTAATTTTTTTTGTATTTAATCGATAACAGCGAAGTTACGCATGTTAATGTTAGGAAAAATATTTTGATGTTAAGCAAAACCTGCTCCATCTCGTTTTACATAAATGTTGAAAATTTGGTCGAAATTGATGCATTGTAACGAAAGTTTTTAGCGAACACCACTTATGAAATTTCCATTTTATTAATATAGATATATATATAGAAAGGGTTTTCACCTAATTTATTTTCGAACGAAAAGATCTTTGTAACATTTTAATATGCTAATATTGACAACTAAGATTGGTACGATGAGAAATGTTATACGGCTAAGAAAAAAATGAAAGAAAGTCTTAAACTGTATTTATTACAAAATAATATAGTTATCAAAGATTTGTTTATCACAAGCAAGAAAGAATATTTATCATTAATTAAACTTAAAAAGAACCAATACTTTGGTGATATACAGAATGCCCTCTGTAATGCTAGAAACGCTTCTCAATTTTGGAAGATAATAAAATCTTTTAAGCAAAGAACAACAATTAAAGGCAATATCCCGATGTGTGATTGGGAGGATTTTTATCGAAGACAGCTGTCTTCCCCACCTATAATGGACGCGTATATATCACCGGCGCTAACATATATGGACCCGGATCTGGATGCTGAAATTTCGCTTATGGAGGTCACCACGGAAATATCCAATCTGGGGAAGGATAAAGCAACGGGACTGGATAACATACCAAATGAAGCAATCAAAGTTTTACCTGACGAATATTTGATTCTATTAACAAATGTATACAACAAAATATTGACGACATCTTCGGTTCCATTAGTGTGGACTAGAACAATTATTCATCCTATTTTCAAAAATGGCGACCCAAATATACCATCACACTATAGAGGAATATCATTGTTATCCAATTTATCAAAGCTCTTTACATCCATATTAAAGACAAGATTGAATAATTGGATTGAAAAAAAGGGGAATCTTAGCGGAAAACCAAGCGGGCTTCAGAAGTGGATATTCCTGTCAAGACCATAATTTTACCCTTACCTCACTGATACAGATGACGCTGAGCCGCAAAAGGGGGAAGTTATATGCCTTCTTCGTAGATGTCAAAAAGGCCTTTGATACAGTACCACACTCCCTGCTTTGGAAAAAGTTGACAGTTTACGGTTTAAGTACCCGATTTATCAGCCTTATACAAAGCTATTATAATCAAATGTAAGTAACAATAAGATGGAACGGATCACTTACAGAATTTATAAAAATACAAGCTGGTGTTCTACAAGGTGAACCCCTGTCACCTTATCTATTTATCCTTTTTCTAAACGACTTGGTTTCTCTGTACGATGACGCTGATTTGCCAAGTATTTATTTACCGAATTATGGAAATATACATCTCCTTCTGTTCGCAGACGATATCGTACTTCTCGGAGAATCCAAGATATATTTACAAAAAAAGATCAATGTACTCAGAAAATACTTCGAAGATAATTTTTTAACGCTGAACCAGAGCAAATCAAAGGTTATGGTGTTTAGAAATGGAGGTCGAAAGGCCCGATCAGATGTTTGGTTCTGGGGACAATTGCCTCTCACTATAACATCTAAATACACGTATCTGGGTTACCAGCTGACAGCGTCAAACTCAACTCAACAGGCGGCAAAGCATTTTAAAAACAAGGCGCTAAATGCTATTAATGCGGTCTGGGCAATATCGACTAAAACAAGAATCAATTCTATCAGATCCTCACTCAAGCTTCTAGATTCAATGGCTCTGTCAACCTTGCTCTACGCAGCTCCAATTTGGGCAAACAACCAAAAAAAAAAGGTTGACAGGGTACAATACAATTTCTTAAGAAGGCTTCTAAATTTACCCAGATATTCTCCTGATTTTATTCTACGTATGGAGTGCGGAAGAACGTCACTGGGAGTTACGGTGCTGAAACTTACACTCGGGTTCTGGCTTAGAATTCTAAAAATGAACAGCAGCCGACTCCCCCATATATGCTTAGCTCAACTATATGAAATATCAAGAAATAGAAATATATATATTGGACTTGCGGAAAGTTTGGCCAACATACTCAACTCAACAGGATTTTCTTGTTTAATTAACTGCAACGATGCAATGATTATCCGGCAAGAAATACCTTTAATAACTAAAATTGCAATAGAACAATCTATTCAAAGTGACCAGGCAAAAATAGAGAATTCTAAATTCTACTCTCACTATAAGTATTTACACAGTTCATTCCGAATTGAAAATTATTTACTTAGCAACTTTCCATTCCCAGTAAAACGCTATATCGCACAACAGAGAATACTATATTCGTTTTTCAAGGAAAACCATACAAACATTTTCAAAGAGGGTGATAAGATTTGTGATCTCTGCAAAGAAAATATGGAAACTAAACTATCTCATTACATCTATGAATGCCAAGATATATTAGTGAGGAGAGAAGGACATTCTTTTCAATGGTAGACACCAGCCAACTTAGGTCAATCCAAATGATGTTAACCAGTGCCCAAACAAGCAGACTAGTTGCTCAGGCCCTATATAATTTTTACAAGGCAGTAGGTGTAAAGAGGGAGAAAAGAGAACTTGGAAGCTATTGTTCTTACACCTCAGAATGATGACGAAACATCGAGGGGCCATCGTGTTATTACTAATAATTGTATATAATTGCGGAACTACTGGTTTCCTGTGCTGCTCTTTTCCTGTTATTGCACCTTGTACGGAGAATCTGTATAAGACTAATGTCTTAATAAAGGCTTTGTGTGTGTGTGTGTGTGTGTGTGTGACAACTAAGATTTCATTATATCAAGGATTAATTTAATAAAAAATAATACTAATCAAACATTTCAAAGTTTCTTTCCTTATGAAATTCCGAAATATTTTCGACCAAACTATTATAATTCACAATTTATCACAGATCATGGAAATTTCAGGTTTTTTCTTAAGAAAATTCAGGCTGTGCAAGATTCGACATGTTTCTGTGGATTGGGGGAACAAACTTCAATACATCTCTTGCTAGAGTGCCCTGTCTTTCAAGATTACAGAGTCAACAACGATTTAATAGCTTTAGGCCCTAGTGATTTAATTTCAAATAAGGACACATATATAAAATTTAATTTCCTTTGTAAATATATTTTGGATTTCATTAAGAAAAATGGTTTTTGATGTAACGATCT